TCACAAACTAAGGAGTGGGAAAGGGGGCGTGATGGAGCGACAACATGGGGAAACCTTCACAAACTGAGGAGCGATCACAAACTAAGGAATGGGAAAGGGGGTGGGGTGGAGGGACAACGCGGGGAAGCCTTCACAAACTGAGGAGCGATCACAAACTAAGGAATGGGAAAGGGGGTGGGGTGGAGAGACAACACGGGGAAGCCTTTACAAACTGAGGAGCGATCACAAACTAAGGAGCGGGGAAGGGGGCGGGGTGGAGCGACAACGCGGGGAAGCCTTCACAAACTGAGGAGCGATCACAAACTAAGGAGCGGGGAAGTGTGCGGGGTGGAGCGACAACGCGAGGAAGCCTTCACAAACTGAGGAGCGATCACAAACTGAGGAGCGATCACAAACTAAGGAGCAGGAGTGGGAAAGGGGGCGGGGTGGAGGGACAACGCGGGCAAGTCTTCACAAACTGAGGAGCGTTCAGAAACCGAAAGTGGCGAGAGCGTCAAAGTAGCAGAAGTCATTCATTTTCAGTGAGAACCGGCGGCGTGAAACAGCGCGGCGCGTCTTCTCCAGTGTGGCCGTCGAGGAGAATTGAAATCAAGTTAACTTTATGGTATGGGCTATGACACGATTTGGCGCCAAGCAATCAGAATGAAGTAGTCCACCGCTTGACAAGTGTTCAGAGAACACAGACCTGTGAACTTTGGTTCCGACCACAGTTGTTCCCAAGAGAGTTTGATTATTGCGGTTGCCGGATTTTTAATTATTGAAAATCGCAACGACGCGGGGCCCCTTAATACCTGCGGGCCCAACCACTACGCCACTGGATATACCTTGAAATCGGTCATCGTCCCATGTCTAAAAAAACATAACTGACTCAATATCATGGTAGTTTGGGGTGAGGGGTGAGGTCATTCATTCATTTTCCTTCGGCTTAGTCCCTTATTTATCAGGGGTCACCACAAGTGAGTGAACAGCCAACTTTTTCAGCATGTTTTACATCGGGATGCCCTTCCAGCCGCAACCCAGTACTGAAAAACACCCAAACTCTTTCACATTCTTACTAACACTCATACACTACACCCAATTTAGTACATGTGTTGTGTACCTCTCATGTAAGCGTAAGCCCTGCCAGCTGGTGAGGCTCTGTGCAGAATACTCCAGCATCCAGAGTTTATAAAACAGCATCACATTCAGAAACACCAGTAGCACCAGACTGCCGGGAGACAATAAACATACACATGATCTTAGAGCACACGGACACACTCAGCAGAGGAAAACACAACATAAATGCTGGATGAATAGGGTGGGAGTGATTGTATAGATGAGGAGGTCTAGAAAATGTTACATCGTGACGTACATTTGCTGCATTCCATTCAAAGTCAATCCTGAGATATTCCTACAAATGTCTAGACCAGACGTGCCCAAACTTGGTCGTGGAGGGCTGGTGTCCTGCAGATTTTAGCTCCAACTTTCCTCAACACACCTGCACGGATGTTTCTAAAAAGCTCAGTAAGAGCTTGAATAGCTACCTTCCTTCAGGACCGAGTTTGGGCACCCTTGGTCTAAACCAGGGGTCACCAATCTCGTTAGTGGAGGTGCAATGCCCTGCAGGTTTTAGCTCCAACTTGGCTCAACAGACCTGCCTGGGTGTTTCAAGAATATCTAGTAAGACCTTGATTAGCTGGTTCAGGTGTGTTCGATTAGGGCTGGAGCTGAAATATTCAGGACACCGGCCCTCCAGGACCGAGTTTGGGCACCCTTGGTCTAGACTGCATACAAAAACAAAATGGTAATGCTGTGTTAGTTATTAATTGCATTCAAGCATATTGTTTTTAATTGGAGTATGAAGAACAGGGTTTCTGCAGGTTTTCACCGAGTTACACTGAAGACTTTTAAAGACATTTTTAAGACCATTATGAATGAAATTTTAGACTCATAAAGCGCTAAAGGTTAAGGCATTTTACAAATGGCTCAGATGGAAAATATTTTTATTTGACCTGTCAAAAAAAAAAAATAATAATTTAATACATTTAATACTACAATAATAATAAACAATGAAAATATTTTAGATTTTATTTCTTAAATAAATATTTTAAATATTGTATAAAAACAAACAAGCTCTACTTGTATCCATACACTTTTTTCCAACATAAACTCTCTTTAAAATGGAAAAAAAAAATTAACAAATGTTTTTAAATGTTTTAAAAACTATAATAAATTAAATCTATGGACAACAATCTGTCCAGCTCTGTGTCCTCAGCAGTATATTCATGGAGCACATCTAAACAAATGTTATTGTAAGGAAAATAATTAAACCATTATGATAGAGTTAAAAATTACCTTTTTAAATAAAAAGTTTAAAGTTTTATTGAAATAAATTGTTGGTGATTGTAAGGGTTTTGGCCAGATTGCGTAGCAATCCTGTACATAAACAAAGAAAAATAAAGACCTATTTAAAAAAAGATTTAAGACCTACAAAACAATATTTCAGTAAATATAAGACTTTTTAAGGCCTATGTTACATGCCAGCACTTATATGGTTATTTTATTGTTTATTTTTGTGTCTCATCATGTCTGTACTTGCTCCGCCTACTCCCGTCTCTGATTGGCTGTTTGACTTGTTCATGCTGCAACCAATCCCATCTCTACCGCTACCCGATTAATTACCACTCTGCCCAAGTCTCAGCCAATCCCTGCATGCCTCCTGGCCTTTAAAAGGTCTTTTTTTCATATCTTTTGTTTATTAGATTAGAGGGGATTTTGTTGTGAATATTAGTAAGACTGTTTGGTTTTGTTTGGTTCTTTTATTTAGCGCCACCCATAGCCAGTCTTTCTAGCATGTCATTGTTGTCTTTGACATTGTATATATTGTAAATACCTCACTCACTGATTCACCCTCACTTTTTGTAAATCACTTATTTCCTCAATTATTCTTGTTGTCCATCCTTACTTTGTATACCCACTCCCCTAGACAAAAAGGGGTTGTAACACCTAAAATTTGGATTTCGAGATTAAGACCCCGCAGAAACCCTGGAAGAAAATCTGAATGGTGAGCAGCATTAGATTGCTAGAAGGACACCATGACAATGAAAGGATAGAGATGGGAGTTTGTAAACAGAATATATTTATGTTTTGACAGTAAATGAATGTACCTTATACAGATCCTAAGGCCAACCACAAGAGGCAAAACCAACAGAAAGACAAACACAAACAAACAAAAATCACTAAGTCAAATTATTCAAATAAACAAAGTATTATCAGTGTGATTTAAAGGCACAACATGCACGATTTGTTTATTAAACCATACCAAAACCACTATAGCAGTGTTATATATTTTGCCCACTTATTTCTTATGTACTTACATTATCCTAAATTCTGGGAGTCAATTGTTTGTTGACAAGAAAAAAGGAAGTGCGCTGTGTTTTTAAGTTGCTAGGCATTGTGCGTGTCAACAGCTGTTGATATTGTTAAAATGGAAATATTTAATAATATTGTAATATTCAAGTCATACAGCTCATTAAATGTCAGGCAAAATTGAGGAGTGGGGTGTAATTTATTACAGCACGCAACAATCTATTTACAGTAGGTGATATTTTAATAAGGCCATTACCGCTGTGCCCTTTACCACCGCCACTCTACAGGGGTAAGCATTTGTGATAAATGGCGTGTGAACATTTGAGTTTACTCGCTTCATTTGCGCGTCAAACCATGCTTCATTCATCCGTCAAATCCGATTCATTCACGCATCAAATTCACTTCAGAACAGACGCGGACTCGCGTGATGGGCAGGGCTTCTGTCTGCCCGGTGACTCTAGCTTCTGACTGAGCCCAGCCCAGTTTGAATAACATTTTGTCTGTGTCGGCTGGAGGATTTCCACCGGGACTCCAGACAACAGGTGTACGTCACAATCACGCCCCCACAAGAGCAAGCTCTTGATTGGTGAACGTGGCCATTTGCGCCGCATTTCGCGTCATTCACTGCGCTTCATTCGCGCGTATCGTGCCACAGGATGTCTATTCGCGGATTTGCATTGACTTAACATGTAAATCACTCACGCTTGACGCACGTTCCGCGTCTGGTGTGAACACAGCATAAGACAGTCATTAAATAAGCTTTTTCATTTAAGTTTTTATTTACATTTTTGTTGTTGATTATATTTTACTATCTGTTTATTAGTGTATGATTTTGCCAAGGACAAAAAGTAGTAAATAACTTATATATTCAAGTATACAGAGATCTGTTTTCCATGAATTTTCCAAAACTTTGTGGGTTTTTCTGTTTTTCCAAAACTTTTCCGGGCCTTGGTCCACATGGATCTAACAAAGACTACAACTCCCATGATTCCACACTCAGTAACGACATCATCAAAATGCGGCTTTGTTTGTTGTGACTATGTGCCCTCTAGTGGCCAAAATTACATACTGTGCCTTTAAGATAGACAAGTATAGTATAGTACAGTAAGTATAGACAATATGAAGTGCTGCTTACACAAAGCTGATGATGAGTAATGGTTTAGAGAGGTTGCAGAAAATCCCGCCTCCTGTTGTGTGCTCGGGAATGTGTCTTGTCTGAGTGGAACCTGTGGACGAAAATGTTTAAATGAATTCAAAGTCTGTGAGAACCGGAAGTAGCTGAAACTTTTATTTCAGTATGCTGATGGGGGCGGGGCTTTGTTATTGTGCATAATTCCCTCATTGAAAACTAACAGTGAGAGGGGGTGTGGTTAAAGTGCACATGAATAGGAAGTTGCAACAGTTTTTTTTCGTATTGTGATGCAGTTTCCAGATTAACAAAATATTAACTGAGGAAAAGTGGGCGTGGCTTTTTTCTACTGCAAGCTGATTGGATGTAGTAAAGTAGGCATCTTATTCAGTACGATGAGGAAAAGGGTTTGGGGAGAGTTATTACAACCTAACAAACTCCTCCTGCTCACATTTTCTGTTTGTTTTCAAAACTGACAGCTGGAGGGGCGTGGTTAAGTATGTTAGCCAAGCCCACTACCTCAGACAGACCTAATCTGATAGTTTAACTTAAAACAAACAGGAAGTGCATTTTCAGGTTTCAATTAAAAATTACAAGGGCAAGCTATTGTTCTTTCTTACTAACATGCACAGATGAATTGTTTACCACAAAAGAAGCAATGTGAGCTAACAAAATCGATATGGTTAGCTTTGATTTCATGCGTACTTTACGATAAATAAATAAATAAATACATAACTAAATATATAAATTAATAACTAAGTCCACAAATTACTGCATAAATAAAACAATATATAAATAAATACACAAATAAATAAATATATTTAAAAATCTACAAATTACTGCACAAAAAAGCAATGTATAAAAAAATCCGCAAATAAATAAATAAGTATATTTAAAAATCTACAAATTACTGCACAAAAAACAATGTATAAAAAAATCCGCAAATAAATAAATAAGTATATTTAAAAATCTACAAATTACTGCACAAAAAACAATGTATAAATAAATCCGCAAATAAATAAATATATTTAAAAAATCGACAAATTACTGCATTAATAAAACAATATATAAATAAATCCGCAAATAAATAAATAAATAAATAAATAAATAAATATATTTAAAAATCTATAAATTACTGCATAAATAAACAGTATATAAATAAATCCACAAATAAATAAATAAATACATATAAAAATATGCACATTTCTGCATAAATAAATAAATAAATAATTAATAGTGCGGGCGGATAAATAGTTAAATAGATTACAACAATGCTGGGGAAATAAGAAATTGCTAAACTGACAGTTTATTTTCTTCCACCCCATTTTAAACGTTTATTCATTTTTGAACTCAATCCTGTATTTACTTTTCCTCAGGTTAACATGCTAATGAGAAGGTGTCTGTCAATCATAAGAAGGCGGCCTTTATGTCATCATTGGTTGCTCGTTGGAAAAAATTTGCGTTCAAATTTTTTGACTGGCTTCTCTCATTAGCCTGTTGAGCTGAGGAAAAGTTAATTTTACACATTTTATTTTATTTATTTGCGGATTTATTCATATAGTTTTATTTATGCATGAGTTTGTGGATTTAGTTCTTCATATATATATATATATATATATATATATATATATATATATATATATATATATATATATATATATATATATATATATATA